CTGCCAACTTCACCTGCAGAAAGTGCATGAATTATATATCCCATACATATATTTATGAAAAACAGCAGCAAGGACTGTTACACATGTACATGTATATCTATGCAGTTCTTTGCACAGCCAAGACCAATTCTCCCACCTGTGACTCTTCGAACGTATCACCAGTGGGTGTCACCCACCCTCCAACAAGTAGTGCTGCATACCAACTGAGTGTGGGACAGTTTACATGTTTAAAGGGTTTCAATGCATATACCTAACACACAATAAAATGCCTTGCAAATTGCACACTATCCACAAATTCACAGATCATTTAAGCCAAGACACGCATCGCGGATACTTGGGAATTTTCGCCAACTGATGCTGCAGCCCTTTGCCTTGTCAACCTGGCCGGTGTTCTTTAAAAGTAGTCTTGCCACTGGCTAGATGTGCAGACACCCCTTCCACTACCCCTTCCCTGCCTGTAGCATACTCTCCAAAATCTTTGGGACAACTGCTTTCTTGTAGACATAGAAAGATTCACTGTAGAGAATGACCCCAATCTTGCATGAGAAAAGCTTGTGCGTCGGGTTGGTTCCAGCAAAAGCTGTATATGAAACTTGGTGGAAGGTCGGGTCAGTAATAGTAGGAGCCATCACATCACGGATCTCCTGCGGGCCAAGACTGTTGTGGAGCTTACCCAGGGCCAGCCTTGCCCTTTCAGCCCTGCGTGCAGCCCCTGATCCTTCTGCAGGAGGTTCAGCAATCTTGCGGTCTCTTCTCTTCACAGCAATCGATGATGCAGCAGCCTGCTCCCTCACTGGTGTTCGAACCTTCATGCGTGGTGTCCATCCATTCTTGGAGCTAGCAACACCCTTGCTGGGTTTTGGAGTCACTTTTGCCTTGGCCTTCGCCTTGGCTTGTGACTTGGCTTGTGACTTGGCTTTTGCCTTGGCTTTCCCTGGAACTGGAGTCCTGGGTGGTGAATCACCATCAACATCAGGTGTTGGGGCTCTCTTTCCTCGGCCCCTCCCACGGCCACGTCCTCTACCACGTCCAGTGGGCTCCTCCTTGGCCTCAGCCTCTTCCTGCTTCCTCTTTGCCTGCCTGGCAGCAAGTTTGTCTGCATCTTCGCCCTGCTTCGCCTGTGCATGAAACAGGCTAGATGCCATGGGATATAGTAAATTCAAAAAATTAAAATCACATTCATTTTCAATCATCAAGTTAATCATGTGAAAGGCAACCAAGCCTCCTTCATTTCTTTCCGGAGTTTCGATTGCTTCAATCCAAGACCAGCTCCATCCATCTCAAGCACTTCAGGGGGAGCAAAGGGAAGCTCCATGCGCAAACCATCATCCAAGAGTGGTGCCCGATCCTGACAGAAACCATGTAGAATGCATATACATGTACTGATGTTTAGTTCAAGGGTTTGCTGGAGACAACTGCATGCACCTATAAATAGAGTGTAAGACTCCCCCGCCTGAAATCCTGGAATAGGTCTTGCTGGATGTGCAGCTGGCATGGACTCCTGGAATTGCAGGTATACATGCCCATGAAGGTCCATACAAATTTGGTTTAATTGAATTCTGATATAGCTATTGTGCATGAGATCATATAATATATGTGTAGTCCTTCTTTTTCTCCAAGATCTCCTCCGGTTTCTCCTCATCTTCAGGAGTGTCCTGTCATCATATCCCAAAAATTGAGTATGCACCTATAAAAATATTTGCACAGCTGTCCATACACCCATTCACACATTCATTCATAGCAGTTGCCAACCTCGTTATCTTCAAGTTGAGGAGGATCACCAAAGCAAGGGGTTGGCATCTCAAGCTTTGCTTTCTTGCTGCTCACCTCATATGGGTCCTGTCAATCAGGCCAGATTGAACCGGTGTGGGCATGGATGCATTCAGTCCTGAGGAGGTTCATCCAAATTCAATGTATCCGTTGAAGAGGATGTATTCAGCGAGGCTCTATCACCATAATCAAAAGACAGCAACTACCCCCCAAAAAAGTAATTCAACCTGTGCTATGTGTTTTTTTCCTGGCATAAATGAATACACCAGTACTCGCCAGTACTGGAAATTTAATTCATGTCCTCCTGGACCTCCGTCGTATCTTTTGCCAACCCCCTCAGACTCGCCACAATGTTCTTCAGGATCTTGACATAGGGGTTCCTGCATATGCAGATGATGACAACATATATATATATATATATACGTATGCACTCATCACACACAAACCTAGACACACAATGCAACCCTGCCTAGCTCTCAGGGTTCTATGGGTGATCTGTATCACATGGACAGCCAACATTCGAAGTTTGGTGGCTTCAGTGCCAGCCCATTCCTGGCCCAGATGTGAAATTCCACTTGATCTAGATACAATAGGGTTCTCAATATGCATGCCAGCATGTCGCGCACTTTCCCTCGTCCACCTCTCTTCAAATACAAATCCTCATTGAAGATCCCACTCTTGATGGCCCAATAAGCAAAAGCAGCCTGGAGTGTGTGCAGTTTTGGATGCACCCCTTGCACTCCTTGGACATAATTCACATGCACATCCATGTAAGTTCCTTATGATGCTCCAGGTGTGGAAGGCCATCTGGGCATTCACTGAACTCTATCAGGTACTGCTTCAGGATCTTGTAGTGACGCGTCAAATCTTCACTATGAACCTGCATGTGCAAAGTTACTGCTGATCAGTTTTGCAATGTACATGTATGTGACCCATCAGGAAGCCTAGCTAGTCAACATACACACATGAAGTAATAAGATGCCAATCAAGTGGCAACCATGCGATCTTGGTCAAAAATGATGCAGCGCTTGTCCTGGGAATTTTCCAATCATATAACTAATTATGCGCATATACAGTATTTACCTGTACCTACATGCATATGCAATCACATTGCAACTAAAGATCTGGATCCCCCCAAGATATCAGGGATCTTGTCTTTGAGGGTCATCTCCAAGACTTCATAGATGGCCTCACCTTCCGCCTCAATACACTGCATGCATATATACATGATGCAGCATGTCAACTGTCATGGTTGATACATGCAGTGCATCATCCACACATGATCTATATGTACGCTAAGAAACCTGAATGTGAAGCACCATGGGTTTCCACAGGTGCTTGATGGGTCCACCATTTGCATCTGGCAGAAGCTCCACCATTGCCAAGCCAAGGTACAAAGATCAATGGATTGCGATCAGGGCCCGCACTGCTGAAGAAGAGATGGCATTGGGAGTGGGTCAGGTGTGTGGAATGCACATTGCAAGATGCATTCTTGGAACCCATGACCCCAACTATGACACCTGAAGTTTTCATAGGATGGTTTGGTATTCCTGTGCGGGGTCACTCAGGTTCCAGATTCACAAATATCACCACAATGTTGCAAGGAATAAAAAGGGGGGGCGCACCATTTGCGCAAGCAGCCCGCAACAGGCCCATGGCGACTGTCCAGCTTAAGCCCAAAATTGCTTTGGACCAAGTACTTTCTCACAAAGTACTTTCAGTATTCATGAACACATAACTTTATAAACATCCTCTCTGTTAGACCTTTGGCAAGTACTTCCTCCTGTAGCACTTGGATGCTTAGGGTACTACTACTACTAATACTACTGAGGTTTGCTTGATTCACAGAACTCTGACCTGAAAACCTCTTTAAACACCACTTTTTTAAACTCATTGATTTCATTGCCCCAAACAATTTTTCAAGGGTGTAGTCGTGTAGTGCACAAGCCTCGGGTAAGTGAATAATACGAATTGTCTATCGGGGTTGGGGTTAATATGCAATCTTGTAGCCCTAGCAAAATTAGTTACAATTATTTTATCTTGCTCTGCTATTGCTGCCCCTGCTACTGCTACTACGGCTACTACTACGACGAAGACGACGACTACTACCACGACTCACGACGAGTATCACTACTTCTGCCACTACGACTGCTACCACTGCTGCTACCACTGCCACTACCACTACCACTACCACTACCACTACCACTACTACTACTCCTGCTACTGCTACTGCTCCTCCTCCTACTCCTACTCATACTCCTACTACTCCTACTCCTGCTCCTACTCCTACTCCTACTACTACTACTACTACTATTACTACTGCCAATTGTTTTTGTGGCGGTGCTAATTTTCAGACTCCCTCCATTGTTTGCTAGGGTAGGTTTATGCTAATTAAGATCCAAAGTTACACAAGATACAACATACAACAACCAACAACAACAACAACAACAAATTCATCAATGAACTTTTAAATTTAAATCTCTCTGATGTTGAGATGTGACCTTCATTGACCTTCCGTGACCATTAACCTTCCGAACATGAACTCCCCAGGTCCGGGGGTCAGCTGAATCATCAGGTTCCGATAGCTCTCCTTGAAGGCATCTGCCTCAGGTATAGCTCGGCAGAATGAGGGAAACAAAAAGAACAAGAGACTCCACCAGACCAGCTCGCGGTTTCTCAAGAGTGGTTGTTGGAAAATTACACAGCACAGCCTGCACAGGCCACAGCCTGCGCCCTACTGGATTCGTGGGTTCATGGGTTCGGCCGTCTCCTCAGCACAGTTTTTGGGATGTTTTGGGGGTGTCATGGGGAAGTGTTCGGTCCTTCCTCTTTGGTTGCTGTCAACACACAGCAGGAAGTGGACAAACACTTTGAATATGTGTGATTATATGCCTACCAATAAATATTTACAACACAACTCCTTTTGGCGACATGAATGGCAAGAAGACCGTGTATGAGATTACACGGTCCGTGTTCTGATGTGTAGGGCCAGGGCGGCAGTTCGGGACGGATTTGCTACTCCAACAAGAGTCAACATACTATGGGAGGTCGCGATAAGCATCCCGTAGCTACGAACAAGCATGTATGAAGAGAAAGCGAGCAGTTTCACCTGTTTCGAATTCTTTGATTGAATCCGGACGGGTGTCTCTACATGCTTGAAAGGTATGTTCGTACGTTCCCGGGGGTGTGGGGGATCCCCCAAAACTGAACACTTTGACTTGAAGCCTCACTTCAAGTCGCTGTGCCTTCCCCCACCATCTTCCCATCCTCGCACCTTCAAGGCTTTGATCAAAGCCCAAGTGAAAGCACCCTGGTAGATCCCCTCCACGTGGGCATCAGCGCTGGTCTGATCATCTTGGCAGCCCGAGAACACCCAAAGCTCATGGTCCTGGCCAGCTTGATCGTCGACTGGATTTGCTTCTTGTAATCCCTCGAATCGATGGAAGTCGAATCGAATGTCCCCCCGAAAGCAAACTCTTCGTATATCATTTCTATATCATTTCTATCAATCTGGAGGCCTCTATGCCCACCTGAAAGGCTATGCAAGTGGATGGCCTGGCAATGAATGAGAGGCTATCTTAAAAAGACTGTGACCCTGCTCTACCAGACTCGGGACCCTGCAAAAATGAGGACCAGGGACTCATGCTCCGCACTACCCATGCCCACTACCCAAGTCCCCCGGTACCACCGCTGATTTCGCCCGTTTTTTTCAATGAATGTCACATTGGTTTGCGCTTCCTCCGCCCGCGCGGACTCCTGGTACTTCTCGTTCCTTAGGGCACCTTTGAGGCCATGGTTCACAGGCTTCACCTCACAACCGGTCCGGTTGGACAGCGAGGAAACAACACGAGCACCGGTGGGCTTCACCACCAACAGGCACCGGTTTGTATGCTGGTGCCTAACCTCTAGAGACGCTGCTTGAAGCCACCCTAGAGGTTCCACTGTTGTCCCTCCACTGTTGAACCACAAGAGGGTGCCTTGTTGGTTCAACTGAGTCACCCTCTTTTCCTCTGTCTGCTCCATCGCTGGCTGTGGAAAATACCGGATGCGAACCTCGCGAGAGGTCCGTGGGTCCTGGTGCATGAAGAAGGAGAGGTCCGTGGGGCAACAGCGGCAGTAACCATCAAGACTTCAAGAAGTATGAAAAGTTTGTTCCATCTTCGTTGGTACTCACATGCACTAGTACTCACCTATACTAGGTCTTTTCTTTGAAACACTGTCAAGTATTGTGGTGCTGATGGTCATCCAAATCATTGACGCCCGTCCGGTGCCGCCCGGTTTACCGAAACGGCGGTAGCTGGTTGACCGATCTGGCGGTGCGGTGCAATAAGAACCAAGTTCAACATGGCCCGTTGGGATTCCTTCGTGGCTTCACTGCTGTGTGGTGCACCAAGTTGGGAGGGTGGCCACAAGGATGCTTGTAAAGAAGATGGGTGAAAGTGAATCATAGTGAATCAATGTGAATCATTATACAATTATACATCATTATACCTCCCCGCTCAGCTCACTGAGGGTCTGCGCCCTCTAGTTATCGTATGCGACCGTGAACCCCCAAGGTTTAGCGTGGCAAGTGAAGGACTGGCAAACAACAAGTCCCCGGGTCCTTCTGCCCATGGTGCTTCTCATAGTCATCCTGACCAGCCGAGCACTTGACACAGTGGAGGGAGGCTCAGACTCAGAAAGCAAACGAGGTGTTTGCAGTCTAAAACAAACAGTAAAAATCTAGAAAACATCGGAAATCATCTGAATATAGGGGTGAAGGGGCTGTTTCAGAATATACATGATCATTCTGGAATAGGTGCCCCAAAACAATCTAAAAATGCACCAATATCTTTTCTCATTGACCCTTGAAGGTCACTTTAATGTTTAAACATCACTTCCATGCCATTGGCCAGGTACGAAGCCCGCACGCTGGGGGTTCCTGGGAGAAAAAAAACGCCGGTGCTAATGAACCCAGCCTGGTGCCCCTGGTATAGCAAGCGTCACACACGATAAGAAAACCACTCATTACAACATGCAGCAGCAGGCGGAACATGTGAACCACAGCCCAGGTAGTACCAGGTAGCATGCACCTGGTTTCTATGTTTTTTGCGGTGCACTCGGTTTTTGTGCGGTTTTGCAAGTTCGGAGCACCTGCTCCTGCACCCGGTGCACTCGGTTTTGGGTGCCATCCGACTGATCATCTGATCCCGTCGGCCTCGAGGTCCTGCTCCAGATTGCCAATGTAGATCTGGGCGCCTTCGCCCACCTGGTCAGCTCCAAGGGCCCACGGGGCGCTTGAAGTGGCCAAGTGGCCCGCACGAAGGCTAGTGGCCCATACCGCTGTGAACATAGTCACTAGTCCATATCTTCCGGAATTTTCCTAGACAAGCAGGTTGCGCAGGTTGGAAATACTCCCCTAATCCATAGTTTGGTCGCCTATCATATCCAATGGTGGGCTGTGTGTCCCAAAACTATACAAAACTGTCCCGAATCGCATCGGCCAGTTTGCGCGCCTTTGTCGCCTCGAGCTTTTTCATGGCCTCCACCCGTTCTGCCAAGAGCTTCTCGGCTTTCTGCACGGAGCCCGTACAAAAGGCCTCTGCTGTTCGGAGTCACACGAACCGTGGACATGGGAGGGGGAACAAAGAGTGAGTGAGAGTGGCAGTTTAGAAGGCAAGCGGAACTACATTTGCATCGTAAGCCACTTTCCAGCAAATCTTCAAACAATATAATATATAGACCAAGTATCTACGTTTACAGTTTGATCAATCAAAAACATTCAAACACAACAGTCAAGTTCAATTCTTCTAGCGAATCTAAAACTATCAACCTTTTTTTTGTTATCTTTGCTATATTCCCAAAAGCAACAGCAAAAGGATTGGCAAAGGGTACCCCTTGCGAGTGCCAATGACATAGAACTATAAATTGTGACCTTTTAATTCCAACTGCCTCCTAGGTGGCAATCATACACCGGACTTTCTCCTGTGTACCAGTACAATGAACTTCCTTCCGAACTATTGCAATAATGAACCACGCACACTTTATCCTATTTTCGTATAACAATTTGCCACTTTCCAGATTTGCTTAAATATTGATTAATCAATTATTGAATTACTTCTTAAACTTTAGGTCAATCAAGAAAAGCTGTTCAAATCTTAAGGTCTGAGGATTATTATGACGCGGGCGTTTTTGTATTAGACGGGGGCAAACTTTTGGCCCTGATGTTTCACTAGGGGGAGGTTCATGATTGCGATGTGAACATTACTGTATGCTGTATACTGCATCTGCTTTACCAAATGGACCCTGTGCAGAGGCCAAGGTGTCGGTACAAATTATGCAACATAATAAGACATGACAGGAGACACTGGGATCCCCTATCATGATCTGGCATGACTGGAGACACTGCTAATGGTAGCACGGATGTCGGGGGTGTCATCTAGCATCCTGGCGGAGCAGGCCCGTGTGCACCTTGATCTCCTTGCTCAGGAGGTACCAGTACCCGGAGCCGTCATCGCTGGGACCTGGCAGGGACATATGACTGAGTACGACTGTCTGGAAGCCTGACAGGGGAAAGGGACCTTTTGGAAAGCAACGCCTCTGCAGAACCACCCCTCAAAAGCGATGAACCAACAAGCTTCTTCCACCATCCTCACGGGCAAAATGACAAGTTAGTTCCATAATGTCATAATCTGCCATATTGTTCTATATTCTATCGGAACTATGAGTAGTATATATCCATATTGTTCTATAGGACACCCGTTGGAGGATGACAAAAGGTCCCCCTTAGATGCAAATGACCTGCACTATGACCTGCATATTGCCACGCCACCAGCACTTTTCTGGCCGATGGGTTCGGAACACCAGATTTTACCATCCCTTTGGGGGGGCTGCGAACGAACGAATTCAACAGCGCGAACGAACTTCCGGTGTTGGAGCTGCTGTTCCACTGTCCAACACCCTCACGTTGACGCCCTACGTAGGCACACTGGCACGCGATGAGACGACGATGAGACGATCACAGCCGCGCAGGACTGGGCGCCTGTCTTCTTGGGAAAGCCATGCTTCTCAAAGAGCGCAACGAGATCTGTGGTGCTTTTCTTCTTCAAATCCAACTTTCCCGAGTTCACCTCTTGATAGAAGCCTCAAACAAAGAAAAAGTGTCCGTGATTTTAATCCTTCAGAAAGGTTAATCTGTTCATGGAAAACCGGTTCAGGGAGCGGTGGAGTGGTGAACGGCCTAAAACAAAGAGTTCTTGACAGAATGTGAGCGGGTGAGCGGGATGACGTAATAAAAATGAACACGGCCGGGCCGGCGCCTCAGGGACCCAAATCTCATCCACATGAGGAACCGTGGAACATCGTGGAACCGTATGGAACCGTGGAGCATCCTGAACCAGAAACTGATTTGAGATGAATGCCGTTTTGTCGCTGCCTGTGGGGAAAAGCATTGTGCAACATGCAAACCAAACACAGGAAGGGCATACTGAAGGTCATATGGAAGGGGTTCGGCTGGAGAAGCATCCTGGCATTACACATTTTGGAGTCTTTGAAGATGGTTATATACCCACTCAAACATTCTACTGTAATGTGGATGGTTCCCTGCATTGATCCTGAAACTACCCGGATGTAACAATTTCTTCCATAATTACAACAATGACCGCCAATCCAATCCATTCAAAAGGATTTCGTTCATCAACTGTCTCTTCAAATTCAGCCACGGACTTGCGTCTCAGCTTGCTCCTTCTGGACTTGCAACTTCTTCATCAGCAACTCCTGACCCGTCTGGGATTTCCGCACTTTTTCTCGCGTCTCCGCCCATCGCTTCACTGCTTCACTTCGGGGAGGAAGCTCCCCTGGAATGTAATTGCCATGGTTTTCGTCGATCACTTGCCATGAACCTGAACCCACCGGACCCGAAACCTCAGAGGTTCCATGGCATGTCCAATCAATCCGAGTCGCCCAAACAGTTTCCAGATCCCCCCTCGAATCCCCTCAAACGATGCGACCCGGGCCACGCCGCGCCTTCTTCTCGGCGGTGAGTGGCCCGCTCTGCACCACCATGGTTTCAGCCAGGTTGGCCACAGTGGCCGAGTGGCAACAGTCAAAGAGACAGACCGCCTGGCCGAAGGCGAGATATACGCACGGAATGCGAGAGGGCTTTACACGAGCTTTTGACATTCATTTGGGCAGTGCAAAGGATGATATTTGAGAAAAGCTTGGGTGGTTAACAAGCTTTTTGCCTTCCCAAGCGGGGGTCTATGTCCTGCAAACCTCTGACATGTAGGTTTGCATCTGACTCGACCTACCTGACTCCCGGTTCTTCGTCTGCCCCACCCCTTACAGCCGCACCTTACAGCCCTTCGGCAAGGGATCATAGAGTTTCTGATGGATCTCTGCGTCGGTGATGACCGTCTGTGGCCACTCGCCACCGATGCAGTCCAAGGGACAAATCACGTCGGAGGGCATCGTCTTCTTGTCCCCCTGTCGGATCAACGGTCTGGCTAAGGGGCGCCTTCATGATTGAAATCTGCAGGACCGGCCGTTCGTAGCGTCCGATCGCTCCGTTCCTAGCGGTCGTAGCGATGCCCTTTGCTCCTAGTAGTGAGGCCAGGAGCCCCTAGTAGCGTCCGATCGCTCCTACCGGCTTGATCTAGTTACGCAAAACTAGATAAACTCGAGGGATGTCTCATGGATCTCCACTGCACCCAGGGACTCTCATGGATCCGGCGACTTTTTTGTCCGGGCGAAACGAAAGTGCCTTAAAGTGAAACGAAAAGAACACACGTTTAGACCTAGGCCTTTACCAAACATCCATGGGCATGGCAAAGGCACCCGAAGGACAAAAACAGGCAAACAACATGTTGCATTTAGTAGTTGGCCAAGACCTTCCTCATATTTGCTGTCAAAGGACAGGTTGTTCTTCACGTTAAAGGGTCCCTGACTCAGTTAGCCCCGGTCAACCCCATTCGAAACTTGAACCATAATCCAACCGCTGTGGGATCTTAGATATATCTTAGATTCTCTAGATGTCCAAAATGTCCAAAACAGCTATTCACCTCTGTGAGAACTGCGTGGCTCGCGTTCCGTGTGACCCTGCCTGGTACTGGGAGCCATGGCCACTGTAGTGGAAGAAAAGCAAATCACCAGGCTTGGCACCTTGATAGAGCCACTCCTGAGCTTGGCAAAAACAATTCGCGACTTGATGCAAAGGAGTGCCATGCAAAGCCAGGCTTTGAGCAGCTTGTGGGTTCAGGACATAGGACGTCCATCTTCGACCTCTGAAATAGGTGGGCTGTATAGTTTATAAAGGGCTCACCGCCCTCAAGATTTCATCAGCTAATTCCACTCATGGGTTGCTAGAGTAGCAGCTACACAGTCAGCTACACCTCAAGGAGTGTGACTCCAAGTATGTCAGAGGTGAGACTTCGATGCCTTCTAGCCGTCCGCTCAGTCTGTGATCTCGGAAGCTGTCATTCCATGTGCCAATGAGACTCTATACCCTCCAGGATCTGCTGCTTGTAGGGCCATCGGCTCTTCTCCTGCCAAGTCTGCATGGTTCTGTCCAACAGCATCCAACAGCTATAGTTCGGGGGTGGCTGCCAGGTGCAGAAATCCAGAATCCAAGCCACACCTCATCCTCTTCAATGCAACAATGCTACATCACCTGGAATGCATATACATGCATATACATTGAGCAAGGAGCCATGTAATCTGGGTGTCTCCGTATATCAAGCAACTGCATTGTGGGATATGCCGCTCCATGACACATGGCCCAACTCGGGGGACCGATAGACCCACGGGCGTGAACAACCGACCCCGTGAACAACCAAACGGGAAGGGCTGCCCCCCCCCCCAAAAAGGACATGTGTTGGTTTTGCGTCTTCTTGGTTGGCTTGGGGCCAAAGCATCTGGAGACTTTGGGATACTTAGGCTAAAAAGCGTCCCGACCCAAACAGCGACCGTGAGACACAGTTTCTTGATGATCCCACCGCGGCTGCCAGCATCCGCCAGTGCTTGGCTGTCCTGATCCTCATTGATCATCAAAATGTCTTCCTTCTTGAATCCATATTTCCTCGAGGTGACTCTCGGCCGAAAATCGGACAGGAACTTCGAGTGGTTTCAAATGGTTTCGGAGAAGATGGCGCTGGCACCCATTGGTGCCCCAAAATGTCAAGATGGGGGTCCATATCAACCACCGAGGGGGATTGTGCCATCCGAAATGTATCAGACTCTAACACACCTGGTCGAGACTTGTGGGGTTCCGGATGGTGTTCAAAACGGTCCCTGCTACCGCATTCCGAGAGTCGAAGGCATCGAGGAATTCGCGAGAAGGATCCGGTCCGGTCCCAAGCTGAACCAATTCCAAAGACATCCTGTCCCAAGCAGTTTCCAAACCATCCAGCACCCGAAAAGAACCAAACATGGAAGAAACATGGAAGTTGGTCCAAGCCTTTCGTTGGTCCAGTTGTCTTTCGTGTCTTTTCGCCAGCTTCTTCGAATATCTCGTTGATTGGGTTTGGACCGGGTTTCCAGGACTCCACCGGATTCCGCGGACGAACAGGCCGAATGCTTCCTCAACAAGTGCAGTGATGCCGCAGCACAGACGAACAGGCTGTGTTGGTGCACTGGTATTGACAGTGCAACTGTTGGGAAAGAAGGAACTGGCACCAGAAATTCAGTAAGAAAGGGTGTGATGGTGCACCAGCATTCAACTCCCATAGCCGCATGTTATGCATATTTATGACACA